TACTTCTGAACATCAGGACCAAATAAACCTTTAATATAGTCCAGGATCTCTTCCTCATTTTTTACAGGCTCCTCTAGAGGAACGGTGAGCAGAACTGCACTGAGACCTGATGAACATCGAGAGACCAGCTCCTCTTTCAGTTCCTCCAGCTTCTCTACAGACAGATCTGGATCCAGTAGATCTGGAGAGTTAATCACATGCACCTGCTTCTCTCCGATCTGAGTTGCTTCATCACAAACTTCAGCTTGTTTCTTCTTATGTTTTTGGACTTTAAACTTCTTTTCTCCCAGTATAGTGTTTCCTGATGAGCTTTTCCCAGAACGGTTTCTGCCCATCAGAAGAACCCGGATCACTGGATCATCTGGACTGGAGCTGATCTCTGAAAGACAATATGGAGTATGAATGTAAAAATTAGGTCAAGTAAAAATTAAGATTCAAGTGCATTGACATTATGACATTATATATAATGCCAGGGCGGAGGCAAGGCCTGTGTGGCCTTAATCAATTACAATACAAAAATGAACCGCCACTGAACTTACTTAAAGGGACACTCCACTAGAGGTCTTCACCCGAGGTCCGACCCGAGACCGGGTCCAAAACTCTGACGAGTGTCTCGGACACTCAGGGCCGTATTAAGAGCTCACTGGGCCCCGGGGCTATGAGTTACTGCAGGGCCCCCCCACCACTTTAGGTCACCAACTACATGAGCTAAATGTTATATTATTATACGAGTCATATACTTTATACGATGTTATTATTTATCCATCTATGATATACTTCACAGTTAAGTTATGTTACTTTTAACACGATTTTTTTTATCATATCAAAATGTATTGACTAAAATTTCATAATTATTGTGACCAATTTCAATATCACCAAAAAATAATAGTAGCTTAAGAAAATAATCTCAAGCTTACTGATGACAAGAGTCACAAATTAAAATAGAACAAAGGCACAATAAATCGACCTATGAAAAACTTAAAGCACTGAATAATATTATATAAAGTAATCAAATATACAATACATGGTTTTCACTATAAATTCAACATTCATTCTTGTTAATTTTGCAAAAGTAATTTAGTCAAATGCAGTAAATTACTTTCTTTCTGATGTTTGATTAACATTATTGACACACATGGCGACAGCAGCTTTATTAGCAGCGTCTGTCACTTTGAGACCTCAGAGTCGGATTCAAGTGCGCTGTGCAAAACCGTCTCAAGTTCACCACAGTCTATGGTTCACCTTGGTCTCAAAACCAGCATTTACAAAATAAATTCTCCCGCTGCTCACTGTGCCTGAGCAGTTTGAAATAATTTGTATCCAAACCACAACGTTTAAAAACGCGTTTAAATGATAAACTTACAACATGATGGTGCAGCAAAATTTAAATATTTCTACCGGATATATTATCGCCAGTCCTTTAGGCGAATATATGTTTAATCAAACACTAAAAGCAAAATTATACATCCATCAAGTTAATATTCAAACTTACCGAAAGTTTGTGGGGTCGATGATGACGCTGTAGCGCATATAGCGCATACCCACTTTTTGCGCCACTGCCTATTCTAATAAGGCGCAGGCAGCAATCATCTATAGGCCTACGTGCAGCAGCAGGTCAGTCGTTCACAAGTTAAATATAGAATAAATATATTTGTCATATCAAATTAAAACCTGACGTTTCAAATTACCATGCCCTGCTCAGAGCCGTTGGCCCTGCATGCCTACGGGGGTTTGAATGACAGGTGGCCTGGCCAATCATAACGCCGAATACGCAACTTTGTCCGACAACAAAGCTGTCAGTCGGTGGACATGAACTTGAAAACGGTAATGTTTAAATTACTTAAATGACAATATTTGAAAGTTGAGACTTTGTTTCATACCAACAGTAAGCTGCTCTGAACTCTCTCTCGTAATCACTCGGTGTAACGTTAGTCTTTGCCCCGCGAAGTATTTTTCACTGCGTGAGTGCATGAGAACATGATGTGCGTGACTCGTGAGACCCGCCTGACTCGTGGCCCGTCACATAGTACCTAAAAAAGGCGGGTCTTTGCGAACGTCTCTATTAATGATAATGATTCCATGATAATGCATGGAATATAAGGCAAAGTGCAACTAAATAACAGGGATAATTTGTGGGGGACGTTGCGTGGTAAGGCTTTGGTAATCAGATGGCTTGCAGTATCTGCTCCACAGCCAATCATGGGCCCCCTCCTTGCTTGGGCCCCGGGGCTTAAGCCCCGCCTAGCCCTATGGTTAATGCGGCCGTGCGGACACGGGTCGGGTTTGGTATTAGTGGCCTCGGGTCTCGGGTAATTTAAAATAAATACACCTTTTCCAAATGGACCCGAGAAGACGCAAATTATTTTAAACAATTTTGGGCATTTACAAAATTGCAGCATTTAAAACAACTCTATGACCGTTCTCTGACTTTTTTTAAGTGAGAGAGCGAATCTGCGCTTTTACGTGCAATGGGCTATAAGCATACGCACGGTTGCCTCCGCATTTATTTATTGAGTTGCTCGCTCTACATAAACCAACCCCTCCGTTTACCACAAAGAACTAGTGCGCCATCATGTGGATGGATGTTTGACTACATGCAAGTATTTGAATTGTCTTCTAGCCAGGCCTGTCAATCAATTTTAAAATACGCGACACTGTCAGAGAAGCATGGAGACGATAACAGATATTGCGAAAAAAAAAAAAAAAATAGCGACTTTATTCGACTATTCCTTTTCTTCAAATTAAAATTAAAATTAAAATTACAATAACGACGCATGTGCGAGAACTGAACTGAAGTAGTTGAAGGAGATCGCAATTCTCGCGCATGCGTCGTGGAAATCTATAAGGAAGTCTCGTTTCAGGCCAACAAGGAAGAAAAGGAATAGTCGAATAAAGTCGTTATTTTTGTTTGTTTTTTCGCACAAAAAGTATTCGCGTCGCTTGATAAACATATAGTTGAGCCACGGTAGTCACATGGGATATTTAAACATTTTCTTCATTGACTTTCTGGGCCGTCAAGAGGCAGTCCCTTAGGAGCCAATGTGGTAGTTATACAGCTCTCAAATTTAATCAAAAATATCTTCATTTGTGTTCCGAAGACGAACGAAGGTCTTACGGGGTTGGTACAGCATGGGGGTGAGTAATTAATGACTTAATTTTCATTTTTGGGTGAACTAACCCTTTAAGTGCATTTTTGAGAAACGCAGGGCTGCAGGCTGTGCACAATGTAAATGCCGTTTACGTTCTGGAATCGGGTCCAGTCGGGTTCTAAAGGAAATGGCGTCGGGTCGGGTTGGATTTAATTTTATCGGGTCTGTCTCGGGTCGGGTTTGTCTAAAAAAATAATAATTTATGCACATCGGGTTCGGGTAAGTAGTGATTCTGGTCGATTTGGGTCAGGTACAGTTTTTAGGACCCGAAAACAGAGATGGGGACTCGAGATGGAGACTCGAACTCGAGTCGCACTTGAGTCACACAAACGCTGACTTCAGACTTGACTCATGACTCGACCCAAAAGACTTCAGACTTGACTTGCGACTCGACCCAAAAGACTTGTCAGCAACCTGTTTTCATGCAATTATTGCTTTTTAAATCTAAATTCATTTTAATGTATTTTCTATTTTCTTTTATTGGCGCATACGTTGGGGAAGCGTATGATAACCTGCATGTCCCCCGCCCTTTGTCATACTGTGCATGAGACCGAGCGAGATGGATTTGTAAATATATTATTCCTAGCTTGATTTATATAACATTGTTTTTTCTAAAAACATGGCGAAAATCTATTTAAGGCTATCTGATAACAGGATAACAAAAGTAGATATCCATAAATATCTATTTTTCCCCATCTATTACTGTATGTGAACACAATGAGACTTGAGACTTGACTTGGACTTCCAAAAAATGACTTGTGAACATCTCTGCCTGAGAAGACCTCTACACTCCACCCATTTGCATTAAGATTTAAATCCAATTATACTATTGAATGGTCATGCAACACTCTCTTATTTTCTCCTGAGACGAGAGAAATCTGCTATTTCCCTTTTTCACTTCCTCCTACAATGACGCAAAAATGTGGAAGTGTATTATTTTCCTGTTATCTCTGTAACTCTGCTTTCAATCTGTATTGTAAAGGGGCTATATACACAAACATGGCTTGACTTGATTCAAGATGTTATTACATTTTGAAAAAATTAAATTTTCATTTATTTTACTTCACAGTAATTGAAGTTAGAAACGTGTACCAATGTCATATGTAACTTTAGAGAAGCTCTCTGTCTAAATTTACCAATATCGAAAGACCAACTAAATAGCCATCCAATATTAAAAACGTCTGAGTGCTGCCCTCTTCAGGTTGAACGGTTCGACTGCAGTTGAATTTTCCTTTTGGATGTTGTTTAAAAGCAACAACTTTTAAACTATGCAAGTGCCCTCGAAAAATATTGTAAATTAAATAAATGTGTAGGTTTCCCACTACGTCATCATTTTTAAATGGTGGCCGTGAGTTAAACAAATAATCTATAAATGAAGTCACAATAAATATATTCACAACAAACATCTTTTCAACATGAAACCCAGAATGAGACCTTAACTTGTTTTATTTGTATAGCACTTCTCACAATATAGGATTGGGGGAGCTTTGGATAAATAAATAAGGGTTAGGATATGGACGAGCCGCATATTAGTGAGCGCACTGATAGGCCTATATTTATAAATAGTTGTAAGTTTCTGACAACATTATGTCTGTCACGTGGAAATCTTTAAGTTGTGAAAGACAAGAAATTCACTGTAATACAGTGGCAGAACAGTTGAACGCGGTTAGTGGTTTTCATGAGACAAAATACGAGCTGCAATGCAAGAACTGGATGAATTTGTACGGAGCAACATGGTGATTGAAAAAAAATATATATCAGAAAATATATCAAATATTTATAAATATGATAGCCTATATATTTTTCAGGAACATTGTAGTCAATGTTTTGCGATCCTGAAGACTTTCTTACCAGGAAGTGAGTCAGCTGTCGCCATCTTCAGTGTTTTCAGGTAGATCACAAACACATAAAAATGCTTCCTAGAAAAACTAATTATTAATTACATTATTAATACATTATTAATATATGTTTATCACGACTCGTTCTATTATTAAATCAACGCATATACAGAAAACATACAAGAAATACACTCTTTCACCTGGCGTCGAGCTGCTGTTTTGGTTTACTTTCACTTTAGTACAGGGCTGAATGCTTGATTCTGATTGGTTACACGTTCTAAGGTGTGCAAATATTTTCAAGGACGCACGGCTAAATTTAGTAGGCAGGTTTGACCGCAGTTCCATATCACTGCGCGTAGTTAACAGTAAAAAGGAAAATAGGAGACAATTCATAACAAGAAAAAAACATGCAGCCCCATGCGCTTGATCTGCAATTTCAATTTCCAATGTCTAACTTCACAATTAATGGACTTGCAGTTTAATTTTAATGAATAAAGTACATAGTCCTATCTATAATAAATAGAAAATTAAACTGAATAAATTGATAGTCCTACACGGGCTTTCGTAAAATTCCATATAATAATTTAAATAATTATTGATAGGCCTTCAGTTGAACGCGGTTAATGGTTTTCAGAAATGAGACGAAATACGAGCTGCAATGCAAGAACTGGATGAATTTGTACGGAGCAACATGGTGATTGAAAAAAAAAATATATCAGAAAATATATCAAATATTTATAAATATAATAGCCTATTTTTCAGGAACATTATAGTCTGTGTTTTGCGATCCTGAAGACTTTCTTACCAGAAAGTGGTTTAGAGTCAGCTGTCGCCATCTTCAGTGTTTTCACTAGGTAGATCACAAACACATAAAAATGCTTCCTAGAAAAACTAATTATTAATTACATTATTAATACATTATTAATATATATCACGACTCGTTCTAATATTAAATCAACGCATATACAGAAAACATACAAGAAATACACTCTTTCACCTGGCGTCGAGCTGCTGTTTTGGTTTAGCCTACTTTCACTTTACATAGCTGTTGAATGCTTGATTCTGATTGGTTACACGTTCTAAGGTGTGCAAATATTTTCAAGGAAACGCACGGCTAAAGTAGTTTCAGGCAGGTTTGACCGCATTACAGTTCCATATCACTGCGCGTAGTTAACTGTAAAAAGGAAAATAGGACACAATTCATAACAAGAAAAAAACATGCAGCCCCATGCACTTCATCTGCAATTTCCGATGTCTAACTTCACAATTAATGGACTTGCAGTTTAATTTTAATGGATAAAGTAGCCTACATACTCCTATGTATAATAAATAGAAAAATAACCTGAATAAATTGATAGTCCTGCTACACGGGCTTTCGTAATTATTCCATATAAAATAATAATTTAAATAATTATTGATAGGCCTTCTTGTTAAAAGGGTTGTGTTTCATTTATCTGCTTTCAATAAACAATGAATAAACGAATTAATTAAAACGAATGTAATAGATAAATAATAATGAGGCACATCTGTCTCATCATTGGAATTAGCAACGGAGGCATGGGATTAGATGCGTAAGAAATTAGTCCTACATACAAGAGCGTTTTAATAACAAAAACTTGACAAACGTCTTGAAATGCATCATCTGAAGAATGTTTCAATGTAGGCTAACTGTAGTATAAGCTGAATAATTGACTAGGATTAGAAAAATAATGCACACCCGAGGTGTAACCTCGTTTCACAAATACTCCGTTTGCAGTGCGCATTTTTTTCCGTACCCGTGTTGTTGTGTCTTTAAAGGGTTGTGGCCACCAGGGGGCATCGATTAGAATGCAGACAAGATGTTCCGTTTAGGTGTTTTATTAAAATAGGCCTAAATGTTTAAAGGTGTATGTGTGGTTCTGAAACAGAGATACTAAATCAGTAAAGCCTATATAAATGTCAAATAGTTATTACATGCCTAGCAGGTAGGCCTATATAATAAACAAACACAATCAAGAGATTAAAGTATAATTTTGTTATGAATGACTGACTTAAATGCAAATGCTATAAATGCTTATCAGGAAGCAAATACAATACTAGAAATGCAGTAATACACTATATCAAAGATTAATTCACATTAAAGGAGTAGTTCACTTTAAAAAAAAAAAACTTTTGCTGATAATTTACTCACCCCCATGTCATCCAAGATGTCCATGTCTTTCTTTCTTCAGTCGAAAAGAAATGAAGGTTTTTGATGAAAACATTCCAGGATTTTTCTCCATATAATGGACTTCAATGGGATTCAAACGGTTCAAGGTCCAAAAGACAGTTTCAGTGCAAACTGCTCAAAGGGCTTTAAACGACACCAGACGATGAATAAGGGTCTTATCAAGCGAAACGATCGCTCATTTAATAAATAAATAATAATATAGTTTAAGTTTTATAAGCTCAAATGCTCACCTTGCTCTGTTCTGTGATGAGCGTTCGTGACTCTCCTGTTCGAACTTTTTTCGTGTCATTTGATTCATTCAACGAATGAAATGAAGGAGTTGACTCGGGAAAAGATTAGTTTAAATGGATTTATTATTAAATGCATTTATGGTGAAATTACTACTACATTCTCAGGTCAATCTGTGTTCATTTTGACCACGAACCGTGCATTGTCACTTTCATTCAGCGTTTGCAGCACAGCAGAAATAGACTCGGTGCGGAGACGAACTCTGCACTGCCGTATACGCACCGCAACTGGAACGGTGCAGTGTGAACGCTCTGTTAACATGGGTACGGAAAAAAATACGCACTGCAAACAGAGTTCAGAACGGTTGCTCACGTCACATCTACGTCGTCAAGCTCGGGCTATCAGGGAAGTGAGTGCTTCAATTGGGCTTCAATAGAGTGCCGAAGTGATGACGTCACTTTGTAGGACAACTCGGAAGCTAGCGGCGCATGGGTTCCCTCGGTCGAAAAGCAATGCATTTTCCCCATAGACTTTAGGAAGATCGCAAAAAATAAGATCTGTGTTCAACAAAGAGTTGTGACCCTTACACGTTTTGTCTATCAAGATAATCTTTACAAGTTAATCCAAAATTTATACATTTTGAAGCCTATTTAAGATTTTTAAAAACACAATCAGTTTAAAAAACCACAAGCAGGTTATAACTGTGTGTTCTATGTTAAAGATCAAAACGTGAAAATATTTAGAGGCTTCAGACCTTATTTCAGGCGATTTAGCAAAAACCCATTCAAAAATCCCATAGGCTTTAGAGCGAGGGAACCGTAATGCTAAAATGCTAACTCACTTCCGCGTTTTGGCCTACAGAGTGACGTCGTAACTTCGGCACTCTATTCTCTCCGTTGAAATCAAGGGGGTCGCTGTGTCCATTTCTTTTTCTGTCTATGAGTAATGTCTGCAACAGCCGAAAGAGGAACCCCGAACTGCTATTTTATTCAATACCAAAAGTAAAGGATAGAAGAAAGAAGTGGTTAGCTGTTATTCGAAGAGATCATATTGTATCATGTCTCATCTTTCTGTTTGCGCGAGCAATAAAATAGAGCTCTGTTTCTTGTCTGAATGGACAAATACTGGCCATACCGGGCGAGATTGGGCGTAAATATGGCGGCGTCCCATTTGGTAGTGAGGTATAGCATCTATGAATTCCCTGCCCGAGGGGACTTTCGGCACGTGTGCGCTGGCACACAGCGTTTCCCCCAGTGAATCTGCTCACTCACACACACACACACACACACACACACACACACACACACACACACACACACACACACACACACACACACACACACACACACACACACACATGTTCTTTACTCTAAACCCTTAACCTAATTTTAACCTACTATTCATGTTTTTATTGTAAATGCATAGGGCTGCACGATATGTTATGCGCACCTAATCAGTAAAGCCGGTTCCTTGATTAGTATTAAATCTCCTTCACCTGCTTTCAGATGGAGCGGCATTTACTACAAAGAGTCTACGGCTCTTCGTCATGACAAAATCTCCCGTGTTAAATTAACACACCTGGGAGTGTATATGAGTCCACACTCAAGAGTGTTAAAGTTAATGAGATAATTAAGTGATTAAATGAGTGATGATTGAGCATTATTGAAGACACCTAAAGCAGAATCACAAGGAGAAAACCGGAATTTCAGGTCACCGTTATGGAGATGAGTGTTTGCTTTAGTTGGGCTCTTGATCCTTAGAATTTTAACTTTATATTTTATCTGAGTTGCATCTGAGTTATAACAGTCAGATGAACAAAGAAAAAATGTGATGTAATGCTGTTGGTTATATTGACATTCATCAGCGTGGGGTGCCTTTTTTCATAATTTTTTTAATTTTTGTGTAAAGTTTACTCATTTTAAATGATTAACTTTTAAGGAAATAATTTCATTAATTATTACTCGTTCCTAATTTGTTCAATTTAATTAATAAAATTGCAATCTTTTGCCACAATTTTATTGAGTAGATATAGCGAATTCATTTTTACCGTGCACGAGCCGAGCTGCTGTTCAGGCGTCTTTCAGCTTTAGTTTCACTTTCGTTTTGCTTCTGCTTGTTGCAAATTCATCATCCTCCTGTGTTGTCCCCTGTGGTGAATTCTTGTATGTTCTTTCTCTGTCAGATTTAATTAGTAAATTATTCCAAATCTTTGATTTGTATTTGATTTGCTCTATAAGCGAGTTGCTTGTCTGAAACTCATTCTCCTCCCGGAGAAACTGAAGCGAATAAGCACTGAACCGCATTCACACTGACATCAGTCAGTCTTGTAAACCTGCTTGCTGTGTATCCTGTTGTATTTATATTCCCCCTACATGACTAAGATTCCCATCACACATCTCCATAACCTACGAATCAAAAAAAGATTTGTAATTACCTTCAGGTTTTGAGCGCTGTCGGCTGGTTAGAAATTCCCGGGAGTCCGTGCCGAACTCAGTCTGGATGCTCGTGCTCTTGAGGCTTCAATCATTGTCCAGGTTCAAATAATAGTTTTCAGAAGAAAATCACTCAGAGACTTATTATAGAGAAGTTTACGATTACGAATCACCACATTCAATGGTTTTGTGTTAATAACAAAGTACAGAATAAAAATCACATTTTTCAAAAATACGAGAAGTCTTCAGCACGAGCTTCGGCCTCCTCACATTTTTCAAAAATACGAGAAGTCTTCAGCACGAGCTTCGGCCTCGCAAAGTTGAAGGTCTCATAATGTATACCCTTCAGAAATCACAGGGTTTTCACCCTATTGCATCACATATAAAATGGCTTCAGCATTTGGCAAGACATCTACACCGCAGTCAGTCAGTTCGTGAATCTTCTCTTTTCCCAGGGATGTTTAATGCAAATACACATTAAAGTATCACATGACAACAATCCCAAAGTCAATGAACTCCACACACTTTCTCGATCTTGAGTTTTGTGCTCATTGTGTTCAGGTTATCACTGTAACCCTTAATAATCACAAGTTTAAATTTTTAAATTTGATTGACACAATATAATTACAGTTATTTTACAAGTTGTGTTATCTGCATATTTTTCAAATCTCAGATTTCCAATATATTAAATCAGCTGTTTTGACTTTCTGACCAGCGCATGAATATTCGATTGAATAAAGCATGACAATCAATTTAATGTTTAATAACAACAACAAACATGCAGCATTTATCTGATTAGGAACAAACCACAGAGTACAGTTGTATTGTAACGATCAGAGAAAATGATGGACTCACTTAAAGGATTAGTTCACTTTTGAAAAAACTTTTGCTGATAATTTACTCACCCCCATGTCATCCAAGATGTCCATGTCTTTCTTTCCTCAGTCGAAAAGAAATTAAGGTTTTTGATGAAAACATTCCAGGATTTTTCTCCTTATAATGGACTTCAATGGGAACCAGGTCCAACCGAGGTCCAAAAGACAGTTAATAACAGTTTCAGATGCAGCTTCAAATGTCTTTAAACGACACCAGACGATGAATAAGGGTCTTATCATGCGAAACGATCGGTTATTTCAAAGCTTATTCCAAAAATGTAACTTTTCTAAGGACAAATGCTAGCCTTGCTCTGTTCTGTGAGGCGCGTTTGCAACGTCACGTAATACGTAATTACGTTCAAAAGGTCACTTTTGTGTCTTTTTTCTAGAACAACCCGCCCACCATAACTGCGCAGGCCTGTTCCCAGAAGAAGCCCCACACAACCAGAACACACAACACATGAAAGAAAATGCATGCAAGTAGATATTGAACATAAACAGTCTAGACTTGCTACAGTATTAAAATGAACATAACTTTATAGATAAGTATCCACTGTTTGCTACAGCACAGTTCAGGTCACTTCTTGTTGTATAACTTTTCAAAGTGAACACAGTGTCACACCAGAGATATTTCTGCTCTGCTCTTGTCTTCACACCACAAAGTCTCGTATGGAGGAATCAGCACTTCTTTCTGTCCACGAAACCTTGAGTATTTGGTCAGACTAGCACCTGAACAAGTGTAGATTTCAAAACAGGATATATTTCCAAACCCTTGTGCTACTGAACGATTAAGAGAGGATGAAGCAAACTGGCCGAAGCGAACTTTTTTGCTCTTAACATCCTTTTGGTTATCAAATGTAACATTAGTACCACGGTAAGTGTTGAAACATTTAGTTTGTGTTTCCTTCAGTTTCTGAATCGCTTATGTTAACCAAAAGTGAAGTGAATACCATGAATAGTTCCCGTTTTTATAGTTTTGTTTACCAGTACGAACAGCATCATTGAATTTCTGATATAGATTCAAATTAAGGAACTCAGAGTTGGTGTACACATAAATGGCAACTAAATGATTCTTTGACAAATTATCTCCTGTTGGTTTGTGATTATTTTCAGCATCTCTCCAAGCTGTTGCAAAATTAGTGTCAGTCATTTCCTTCTTCAGAAATTCGGTCTGCACTCGACGCTCCATCTCCTTTAAACACCCGTCAAATCTATCATCAACTGAATTCTCTGCCATATCCAGTGTTATTATCTGTCCTTCAACAGCAGTTCTGTGATCCTGCAGTGACAGGAATCATAATAATCATCAGTATTGTTGTGTTTCTATACTAACACAGTCTCATCCCAAAAAGTCATATAACTGACGTCTTGGGGCGTATTTTGACCATAGGTCAATATCCGCCTTTTTAGGGCCCCCTTAAACGTCGGTAGATGGCGATCCTGGGCCGTCATACAACTGACGCTTTACCTTTAACGTCAGTTAGGTGACGGGTTAGGTTACGGGTTAGGTTTAGGTCTGGGGTAGAGTTAGGATCCCATAACCTCATCTACCGACGTTTAAGGGGGCCCTAAAAAGGCGAATATTGACGTATGGTCAAAAGACGTCCCAAAACGTCAGTTATATGACGTCTTGGGATGAGACCGGGTTGTCTATACCGCTGTAATCTTTATCCACCTTCCCCCTATCATTTACACATACTAAAAATTATATCCCATCGTGTTCTTACCTGATGGTCCTTGACGTGGAGAGGCGGAATAAGACCCTCGGCGGTGTCCGTCCCCGCTCAGTCCTGGGCTCGTGTCATAAGGCTCTTTGCTTAGTATAAAAATATCTCAATTCATATAAAGATATTTGTTAGGAAAAAGAACACTCTGAGCCAGAGTTCAAAGGGTTTTCGAATCACCAAACATATGGTTTCGTTTTACTCAAAAATCTTCAGAATGTTACAAAGACAATAAATTCAAAAACAGAAAAAATTAAAAGAAAAGCGTACATAGTCTTCACCTCGAAAAATAGCGGCCCCAAAAAGTAGGAAACATAATCTTTTATGTGACTCAAATTGGGGCTGTCTCTAAGCATTAGGGGAGGCAGTCCTAATTCAGCAATAATTCATTATAAGGTATATAGAAGCTGGAAACATTTGCACTGGCTGTTGAGCAAAAAGAAAAGAAGCGAGATGCTACACCTGCAGGTGTGAAAACCACATCCTGCCTCTGGCCTCACAACGACCTCCTAAAAAGCGTTACCTTATCTAAGCTAAAAGGTCACAGTTGTGACACCTGCATGCCTTATGCAATAACTGCGGCTAAAATGCAAACTAAAAATAACACTCTAGACGGCAGGGCAAAGTAGCATCTCTACAGAGATGCGACCTTCTCCTGCACGTCTAACATTTCACATCTGGGACACTTAAGTTGACTCATTAACACAAACTTCTTTACAACATGCATCAGTCGTTTATTCAGTTGTTCCATTTTCCGAATGGTTGTTATCATTTTCCTGCTCTGGTACATCAGGTCGTGTTGCAAGGCCAACGATCGACGACTTCTTCCCTTTTTCCCTCTTCTTTGCTTTGTGCAGGACTTTGGCGTGTTTCTTCTGGAGCTGGGCAACTAAAAGATCGTCCATAAACATTTCATATTTATCAGTCCTTTGTGTTATATATAAATTCTCAAGGGACGGCAATTTAGGACATTTGTTGGAGAATTTCACATCTTCAATTACAGGTTCTACTTCAGTATTCATGTCTGTAATATTCATAACTCAAACACAAGTTCACCTGTCCAACAGCAGCTGAAATGAGGAGAAGAGCTTCAATGATCAGCAGCATCTTGATCCAGTCCAATCCCTCAGATGATCCAGTAGATCTGGGGAAGATATTGAGAAGTGCCAAATCAAGTTGATTCTCGTATGTATAACTTGTTAAAAAAAAAAAAAATTTTGATGAGTTAAAGTAATGTACACATAAGTTGGCATAATTTATTAATCACAGAATGTTTTACTCACCCCAACCTTTCTTGTTATTTCTCAAGAGTCTGAGGCCAATACACAAAGAAATCTGAAACCAGGTAAAACGCTCAGAATTGTAGCGGTATGACAATATTGTTCTCACTGAGAAAGCAAAAATGAAAAGAAACGTAACGAAATGCCCACAAATAACCCCATTTCTCAAAGTACTTTGACGTTCATCCAACAAATATTGAAAATTGAACTTCGATTACTCTTTATTTAGCAGTACATGACTTGTGTAACAGACGGTCTCTTACCAGAAGCTGCTGGAGCCGTCGCCAACACTGGATCTGACCGATCACAAGTCTCTTAAAACACTGAAACAGACGCAGTGGTTTCATATTTAGCAATGGCAAAGGTTTTAAATGTAACGCCATCATATTTGCATAAAACATGCAAACCATTTTTTTTTTGTCGTCCTCCTTCCCTTTGCAGTTACACTGTGTTTTCCTGTGGAAAATTCCTGTTCTTCTGCTTATACAATTTTTTGTCCAGTGCAAAAGGTCCTAATTGAGAGCAAGAATGATCACGAGAATCAGCAAGAGTTGTTCAATAAACTATATTAACAGTTCGGCGCTACTGCAACACGCAGCATTCATCAAGCGTGCAAACTAGCGCAAATCAAAGTGAAAATAAGTCGCAGGCGCTTAACACACTATTATCTTCATTATTAATTGATGATCAGCTCTCTTTCAAGTTGCACATTAATAAATTGGTACAGAAGCTCACATTAAAATAGGATTTTATTTTAGAAACAAAGCCTGTTTTCTTGGAAGACTAGGAGGAGATTAGTTTCTGCAAAATGTCTCACGGTGACCTGCTCTACAGAAATATGTCTGTTAAACGTTTATCTTTGTTGGATACTGTTATTCATAGTGCACTAAGATTTGTGACTGGATGTAAAGCATCAACACATCACTGTACTTTGTACAAAATGACAAAACTGGCCTTCATTATCAGTGAGGAGGCATATTCATTGGCTTACGTTTATTTACAAGTCTATGTTGGATATACAGCAAAATCCCCAGTGTTAAAGTAACACAGAGAAGTGTGAATTATATGAACTCTGAGCAGAGTGTTAAATGAACACTGAAGCAGTGTTAAAGTTAATGAGATAATTAAGTGAATAATTGAGTGATGATTGAGCATTAATGTTAACAAGCAGAATCACTGAAGGAGAAAACCGAAATTTTTGAAGTCACCATTATGGAGATCAGTGTTTGCTGTAGTTGGGCTCTTGATCCTCAATTCATTGACTTTAGATTTTGTTTGACTGCTGTATGTGACTTATAACAGCCAGATGAACAAATAGAAAAGGGGATCTGATGGTGTTGGTTGTGTTTTTTAACAATATCACATTTATGTCACCAGGTTTGAACAGCCTTTAGATAAAAAGAAAACCACTCTGAGACTTGAGATGTTCTCGAATCACCACATTCAATGGTTTTGTTTTAATAACAAAGTACAGAAAAAAATCAACATTAAAAAATACGATAAACACAAATTTATACCCTCAGAAATCCCAGGGTTTTTCACCTAAGCAGAAAGCTATTGCATCAAATAAAATCATCACTAGGCAAGACATCTACACAACAGTCAGTCAGTTTGGGCCGAATCTTACAAAACTTACTAACTTACGAATCTTACTAACCCTTACAAAATACACGTTTATTGCACATATTATAAACACGTTTTGAATTTGGTTGATACAATATAATTACAATTATTTTAGAAGTTGTATTATTTGCATATTTCGCAAAGACTCAAATCTCAGATTTCCGATCTATTAAATCAGATGTTTTGATTTTCCCCACAGCTGACCAGCGCATGAATATTAGATTGAATAAAGCATGAGAATCAATTTAATGGTTAATAACAACAAGAAACATGGAGTATTTATCCGATTAGTAGCTAACCACAGAGCAAAAAACTATTAAAATTAATAAAGCGTTTAAAAAAGCAACTTGGTTTCCACTGCTTGCTGCGCAGTTCAGGTCACTTCTTGTTGTATAGCTTTTCAAAGTGAACACAGTGTCACACCAGCGATATTTCTGCTCTGCTCCTGTCTTCACATCACGGACTGTAAAAGTCTCGTATGGAGGAATCAGCACTTCTTTCTCATTAGGAAACCTCGAGTATTTAGTCAGATCAGCACCTGAACAAGTGTAGATTTCAAAACAGGATTTAGTTCCAAACTTTTGTGCTACTGAACGATCAAGAGAGGATGAGGCAAACTGGCCGAAACGAACTTCTTTGCCCTTAACATTCTTATCAAACTCCTTGTCAGTACAACGGTACGTATTGTAGCAATTATTTTGTGTTTTCTTCAGAATCTGTATCGCTTCTGTTAACCAAAAGTGAAGTGAATACCATGAATATGTCCCGTCTTTATATTTTTGTTTACCAGTACGAACATCATTATTGAATTTCTGATAGAGAGTAAAATCTGAGTTAGTGTACGTATAAATGGCAACTGAATGATTCTTCGACAAATGATCTCCTGGTGGTTTGTGATTATTTTCAGCATTTCTCCAAACTGTTGCAAAATTAGTGTCAGTCATTTCCTTCTTCAGAAATTCTGTCTGCACTCGACGCTCCATCTTCTTTGCACACCAGTTATACCAAAGGTAAAATTGGTCATCAACTGAATTCTCTGCCATATCCAGTGGGAGAATCTGTCCATCAGCAGCATGTCTCTGATCCTGCAGTGACGGGAATCATAATGATCTTCAGTATTCATGTCTGTAATATTCATAACTCAAACACAAGCTCACCTGAACGGCTGAAATGAGGAGAAGAGCTTCAATGATCAGCAGCATCTTGATCCAGTCCAATCCCTCAGATGATCCAGTAGATCTGGGGAAGATATTGAGAAGTCGATTCTCGTGTATATAACTTGTAGAAAAAAGTTGAAATTTCTTACAATTTTTGATGAGTTAAAGTAATGTAGATACATAAATTGCCGCAATTTATTGATCATAATGTTTTAGTCACCTCAACCTTTCTTGTTATCTCTCAGGAGCTGGAGAGCAGGTCATACACAACTCTTCTGGGGAGGTTGGCTTTTATAAATGTGTAATGATGAAGACTCGGAAAGCTAATGCGGATCCATGTGTGGAGTGTTTAGTGAACCAGCGGGCAGAAAACAGCACAGAAACACAAGCAGAATCAGACCAATCCAAAACACAAGGCAAACCACAAGAGAGTCCAAGACCATTACGCCCGTTTCACACATACTCCGTTTGCAGTGCGTATGCGGTCCGTATTTTTTTCCGTACCCATGTTAACAGGTTAGAGCTTTCACACTGCACGCGGATGCAGTCCGTCGATCCGTTCCAGTTGCGGTGTGTATACAGCAGTGCAGAGATCGTTTCCGTACCGAGTCTATTTCTGCTGTGCTGCAAACGCAGAATTAAAGTGACAGCGCACGGTTCGTGGTCAAAATGAACTCAGATTGACCTCGAAATGTAGTAGTTTCACCATAAATACATTTAATTCAATAAAATGTAGTAACCTCTCCATAGATGTATTTCATTGTTTCATATTTTTACTTTAAGACATTACTTCTTAATAAGGGATGAATTGTATGCATTCGTTGTTTAAATTGTGTTTAAACGATATGCGTCCATTCAAGTTTGTAAAGAGAATCGCAAAGCTGGCAAAACTTTTATTTTAATAAAAGTTGCTGCATATGGAGAACATATTTTGATTACCAAAAACCAGGACACATGGCCCAGAAAACAAATGATACTCGAAGTTTACTCAAAGATGCCTTATTAATTTCAATACAATTAAAATAGGCTATGCCCCCTCTGTGGATAGAAAATTGTTATATTAAGACACAAATTCAGATAGCCTAGGCTTAGAGGATACTCAATATGTTTTATTATGACAGGTTTAAAAAATAATGAATGAAATAATGAATAAAAAATAATGTCTCTTCTGTATTAGAAAAATAAATATATAAATATTAATTAACTAAAAGAAATACCTTCAAATTGAACAAAAATACCTCTCACAAACGTACAAAAACAAGCTAGTTTTCTTCCTCTTTATCCTGTTTTTCTTCCTCATCCTCCTTGTTTGCTCATCTCCTATATTTTGCTGTAAAGCTGATCTTTCCCAGTGTTTATTTATTTATTTATTTTTTTGAAAACCAGGACATCACTTTATAAAAAAACGGCAGGACAGGACGTGAAAACAGGACTGGGATAACAGGACTGTTGGTCACTCGTCACGCTATTGCTGCATAACTTCTGATTTTTAAATAAAAATAGCGAGTGTTTGTGGTACAGCTCACGCACTGCAAACGCAGCATATGCGAAAGCACTTTAGCGCGTGCAGCTCCTGTACGCACTGCAACACTCACCGCATACGCACTGCAAACGGAGTATGTGTGAAACGGGCGTTACACAAAGAAATCTGAAACTAGGTAGTGGTATGACAATATGAAAAGTAATACATGCATATTCTGGGACAATGTGTGTGTTTGTGTGTGTGTGTGTGTGTGTTGTATGATAATAAATTACCCTTCATTACATTCAATTGTTTTCACTAAGAAAGTAAAAATGAAAAGAAACATAGCCTCCTAAGCCCTGGTTGTCCACATACGTGGACATCACATTATTGGTTGTGTGTCCAGGGGTCAGAAAGTAAAAGTCCTGCCATATTTTTATTCCACCCACAGCAAAAACTCCAGTGTTAAATGAACTTTACTGGGAGTTTATTTGGATACAGACTCTTGTGTCAAAGTTAATGAGATAATTTAGTGAAGAATTGAGTGATGATTGAGCATTATTGAAGATACCTGACGATAACAAGCAGAATCTCTGAAGGAGAACGTCATATTTCTTAAGTCACCATTATGGAGATCAGTGTCTGCTTTAGTTGGGCTCTTGACTCTTAAATCATTAACTTTAGATGTTGTTTGGCTGCTGTTCATGAGTTATAAAAGCCAGATGATCAACAAGGAAAGCTGATGCGCTGGGGTTGGTTATGTTTTGACATAATCATCATTTGTCACGAAACTCATTTGTAGAGTTTAAACTTTTGATTACACCGTATAACTTTTTCAGAAATGTAAATTTTATACAAAAAATTTCTTAGAAGCTGTTCTATTCTAAATACTTTATGGGCACACACAGACATCAAGAATCAGCCTGTGATTCTCAACAATGGTGACAATTATATAGCATTCTGGGTGCCACCAATCAAAACTCATTCATGGCTCCCATCATGTATTGCGGTTTGAATAAATTATGATCTGAATTGTCTAAGTAATTTCCTTTCCCTAATTGAATATTCTGTTTGTCACCATTGTTGAGATTCATACACTGAATCTTGATGTCTGTGTGTGCCTAAAAGAAAGATTTTTAGTTATCAGAACAACGTTTAAGATATCATTTGGTTTATTTTGAAAAATCTGGGTATAATAGTCTGGGTCTAAGACACCTGATTAATTAAAGCAAAAAAAATTTTATCGCATTTTAACAGTTTATTATTATTATTATTATTATTATTTTGAAAGTCCGTTGCTCACTGGCTCTGGCTCATACACATAGGCCTACAGTCAAACCATGGTTCACAGGAGGGATGGGATGTTGACCACTTCACCTTACTCTATACCTCAACACTAAAGACTACGTGTTGGTTTTCATTTAAACTTCTGACGCGCAATTTCACATGCGGTTCTACCAATCACAGCGCTTGCAGTAGGCTACGCGTAGAATTGACGCATTGTTACATTTTTGGAGAGATGCTCGTCAGGCAGAAGTATAAATTTGGCTTTAACTCTGTTTGATCTTAGGCTATGTTTACACGAAAACGATTCTGAAGAGAAAACGCAAAAGTGGCATTGCGTTATCACTTTTTATTCTGCGTTTAGACGAGCGTTTTGGGTGGGAAATCCGCGTGCATACAGTGACACAAAAGTGTGTGAAATTCAATGTAGTATACACTCCAGGCGGCTAGGTGGCAACGTGAAGCACTGCCACACAACAACACCAAGTCCGCGCGCCTGCGTACAACCTTCACTGTCAAGCAGACTTTTGCGTTTTTACCGTTTACGCGGGAACGCGGCGGTGGAGCGTTTTTAAGATTTCCACTCTGGAGGGTGGTTTCACTTTTTTGTGTTTTTAAGCCTCAAAAACGCAGTCGCCGTGTAAACGAAAAGCACATCCGATAAAATATTTTTACGTATTCACCCGCGAGCGTTCTCGTGTAAACAGAAGTAACGTTGGTCGACTTATATCTATAGTATTGGTCATGACCTCTGAGTGCATAGACTGTTTCTGCTGCGCCCTGATAAAAGATACCTGTTGAGAAAAAAAAGAAAAAAACAAAGAAAACTGGACTTATTTTAACAAGCTATATAAAAGATAATGCCCTGGCAGTGGCAAATAGCCTTGTTTTAGTATTTGATTTGTTTACATTAATGTTTAAGTAGATTTTTACAATATTTTTTTGCTGTGTAAAGGGAATACTGCTGGTATAAAGCACCTTATTTGTTTAAGTTTTTGCAAACCACATGTGTATATAGCAGTACATTTAAATCAAAATACACTACTTTAGAATTCTTTCAACAATTTTGCATGTAACAATGCGATTAAAATTTTTAATCGTTGCCCAGCACTAATTACATTATGTGCAGTTTTTACATTTTGAGTTGCTATGTACAGTTTTCTGTTGGTTTTTGGCCTTGCTATCAGTTTTGATTTTCAAAACTATTTTTTTGTACACTACAAATACCACAGAAACAGCTTGATCTCACTCGTTCTCCCTCTTCCTCACAAACACACACACTTAAACAGAACTATAATGTGAATCTCTTCCACTAAAGTTACAGTTCATTGATCAGCAAAGGCATTTCCCAAACTTTCATTTAGAGCAAGCAGTAGCTATATTGCAAACCAAAATCAACAGTTAGAGTCAAAATACCCCATACCCCCCCCCCCCCCCCCCTCCCACACACACACACTAAACTATCGCTAATGTACACACAGTGTAACAGACGGTCTCTTACCAGAAGCTGCTGGATCTGACCGATCACAAGTCTATGAAAACACTTCACAGATGCACTGATTTATTATAAAACACGTGTTCAGCTTGAGTTTTAATTTCATTCTCCTCCTCCTCCCCTTTGCAGTTGCATCAACTTCCTGTGGAAGATTCCTGCACGTCTTTATTTTTTTTTTGTAGGGTGTGCAAGGTCCTAGACTGGTAGTTAAGAGCAAGAATGATCACAAGACATTCAGCACAAATGATCACGAGAATCAGCAAGAGTTGTTCAATAAACTTTATTAATTCTCTCAGTAATAATCTCCCACAGATGCTGAACAGACTTATTCAACTAACAGTCACATGACCGGATCGATGAAGCCTGTATGAAAGCGTCTCGATCGACAAACTGAAGTGAATCAGCTCTGAACCGCATTCACACTGACATCAGTTTGATTCAGATTCATGGTTAACGAGTTTCTCTGGCAGTGCAGCTCTGATCTGAGTTTCACACCGTCCACACACACAATGGGCTAAATATACAAATCTTTAAAATAATAGTTGCTAAAGAACGCAGAAAGTCATTAAATCACCAACAATTCTCTTCTTAGACTATAAGGTCTCTCCAAATAAAGCATTTATATTGAATCTAAACAAAAGGATTTCATATGTGTGGAAACTGCAACAATTTCTGACTTTATATTATCAAAACGTATCAACTTTGTGTTAAATATCGAAATAATCTGCCACTGCAGTGTCCAAAATACCTTCATCTGAGACACAAACCCACTTAGACTCCACCCACTCAACAGACTCCGCCCACTCAACAGACTCCACCCACTTTAACTACCCTTGAAAAGACTCCGCCCACTTAGACCACACCCACTCACTCTTAACTCTCCTACTGATGACTCCACCCATTACACATAACCCCGCCCACTCTGCCAAACATGGCAAAGAAGACTCCTCCCACTTAGATCAGTCCCATCCCCCTTAACTCCCCCACTATCAATGATCCCACCGATTCTGATTGCAAAGTCTCCGCCCACTTAGACCACTCCAACCCCCTTAACTCTTCCACTGATGACTCCACCCACTATACATGACCACACCCACTCCATCTACCCTTGCAAAGAAGACTCCGCCTACTTAGACCACTCCCACTCACTCTTAACTGTCCCACTGATGACTCCACCCACTATGACCCCGCCCACTCTGCCTATCCGGGGAAAGAAAACTCCGCCCACTTAGATCAGTCCCACCCCCCTCTTAACTCCCCCACTATCAATGATCCCACCCATTCTGCCTACCCTTGCAAAGAAGTCTCCACCCACTTAGACCACTCCCACCCCATAACCCTTCCACTGATGACTCCACCCACTATCCATGACCCGCCCACTCCTTCCACTCTTACCTACACCATTAATCTGACCCCGCCAACTCAACGCAAACGTTCATGTGACCCCGCCCACTGACCCCTCCCCCTGTCATGGCCCCTCCCCCTGAAACAGGTATAGAGCTACAGCACTAAACACACACACACAGCAGAGGATGTAGCGCAGAGCCTCCTCAATCAAGCAGAAGTGATTGAAGTGTTCAGAGACTCGTAGTGAAACCTGTAAACCTGTCGCGGCCCGTGAGAGATCAGCACAGGCTCCCTGATTAGTGTGAGCTCCTCCCGCCTCTATAACTCGCTGCGGGAGCGAGAGATGCGCGGGCCTTTGCGGATCTCTTTCCTCTTCTCCTCCTTCCTCCTCCTCTTC